GAAAGCTTCTCCCACAGTTGGTATGACACTTGATGAAATTGCCAGAATTCATGTTTGGCATGAGTGATGGGAACAAGTCGCTCACACCCACATCGTACGAGAAGTGGAAGTAGCGGTGGAAACTATTAAGCGAGTGAGTGCCGAATACAGTGTGTTGACTAAAGCTAACAATAAGTCTCTTCACTTCTTTTCGTACGGTATTTAAGATTGTTTTCCGACTGATCCGCGATAAAAATGGCTTTTGTGTGAATTGGAGCGTTGAAGCGGCCGAACACACCAAATTATAGGCTGTCTCCAAACGACCCACCACCAGTCCCCCTCTTCCAAGGTATCGCATTACCCCAGTCAACCATAATTTATGTGAAGGTCAAATAACGGTTACATCTGGGACTTCCCCACTCGGCACAACTCCTTGGTGTGCAAACGATTTTCATTTTTCTGCCATTGACATTAGGCAGTCGTTTAATTGCATGGAAAATGTCAAAAGAAAAAGGGCGGCTGCTAGAATTCGATTCATTCATGAATCACGGAGGCAAAGCTTTGTGGAGAGTGAAATTGGTGGTTATCACTTGGGATAGTGACTAGCTTGGTGTAGTTGGTACATCCTTGCTTGGTATGAGACACTGAGCAGGAGCATGGCCCTTAAGAATGGTCGAAGATTAGCCATTAATTAAAACGTCTAGAAAGTTAAACAGGCACGTCTTTCCGGTTTCACAGCCCTTCCCGCCGACCCACTTCACCATAACCTGATGAATGATAGCTGATCTCCTCTTGGATTTTTATTATCTGCCTCAGATGAGGTATGAGTAGGTGCAGAAAAGGGCGATATCTTGGCTACAAAATTAGGAGTCAACAAAGTTTCGCATTCTCTGCTTACCTTCTCCTGAGGACTTCGATTCTTCGCGTTTTCACCTAGACAGCTACGTCATCAAGGGGGAACTTCAGTTCAGCAAGAAGGGGATTTTCTAAAGAGTTATTTCTATAGTGTAAAATTTGGTTTACTTAAATGGTGGATATATAACAGTACATCGGCACCTTACAAAATAGGCATTGCCATTGCATTTTTAAAATGACAGGTTATTAGTTTTATTGCTAAATAAAATTGCAAACAAAAGGTACTGTACAAGCAAGTATAAGAAACAGCATCATTCATAATATAAAGTCAGTCCTGTACAAAGTGGTGTCGCCATCCTATCTGCCACTTCTCTGCTGTTGCTGCTGCTGTCCAGGAGTTGGAAAGACGATCGTGGTTTGGTAGTAGTGAGTCGTCGCTGCCTGCGGAGCAAGGGTTGCACCGGGAGCAGTGGAGACGACGGTAACAGAGGAGGTGGGTGGCTGCTTGGTGGTTGTGGAGGCGGCATATTTCTCTATCAACTCCTGGTGTTTTCGGTGTGCACAGACGCAGATAATGCAGGTGCAGAGAGCACCCACCGCTACGACCAAGCAACAGGCCAGCGGCACCAGTAACGGGTTGTGTGCTGCACAAGGAAGGAGCGAACCGAATAATTTGGAAGAGCAAGGCCTTATCTAACAGGGATTTGTCACATTCGGAAGGAGTCGGTGAGTCAAAATCCTGCTTACAGAAAAGCTACCTAATGTTGAAATTCTTTCAAGTTCCAATTTAATATAATGAGCAAGTTCCCCATATAGAGACCGAGTAGAGATCAAGAAATGTCCAATTTGAAGGCACTTTATTTCAAATATTTTATTAACAATAAAGGCCCATTTTCTAAGACAATCCATGCAGTAAAACAAATGGATGGGTTCTTTTTCTTTAGGTAAATTTTGCATTTTTGAGAAATACCTAGATTTCAGAAGAAGTATAGATGACGCAGGAGATGTTAAAGAGGTAGACAAACTCACGAATCTCATCATCTTTGACTAAGACCGTCTCCACGTTAATCTCCGCGACCCCATGAAGAATGGTATGCCAATAATGGTCCTGAGACTCTGCACCAACCATGAGAGCAAATGAAGGCAAATGGTGGAATTGTGTGGTGATGTTCGTGGAGGCGTTTTCACGGATGGCCGTTGCTATGCTGTGTGCAAAGCGCTGTACAAAAACAAATTCTCGTCCATCCTCGGCTTTGCGGATTCTTTCGTCTGTTGAGCTTAGAGTTACCTGGAAAGAGAGGCGAAAAAACGATAATGGATCCGAAGACCACCAAGTGACGAGGTTGTTGATAAGATCTCCCGGCCGCAACACTTTAGTTTCTGTTCTGGTAAACAACCAAAATCTTTCATCGTGGTGGGGTGGAAGAAGGCGTTCCAAACTACCTGATTGCCTTGCACTTTGACTCAAAACAAATAGTTGGACAAGTTTTTAGTTTTAAAGAAAATTAGCAAGTTTCAAGGTTGGGCTTTGATGCTTTACTTGGAAGACTTATTTGTAAAAACTGCATAAAATGTACCCAGAAGGCGAGTTTTGTCTTACGAGAGGATCATTCGATGCATGAAGGTGGTATTAATGTTTAGGATGCTCTCGGTATATCTCACCGTAACGAGATGCATTAAAGGCGGCTCATTGTTTCACTTTAACGTGCTCTCCACTATTTCCTGCTTAGTTTGCACACTTGTGCTACAAAAAGTCAGCTTAACATGACGAATTTTCTCTATCCTATTTTACAAACCGTGCTCTCTGCGATTCCAAAGGTGGAACAGAAGCCTCTCGTCAACCTTGTAGTTAACTACCCGGTGAAGTGTAGTAGCAGAATGCGACAGACAGAAATGATTTGGAACAGCTCATTCGAGCATCACGATAAATGCATCACATTGAAGAAATTACTCAAATCATTGGTAATAATAAGGAAATAAGTGTAATGCCTTTGACGCATTTACCTAAGATTAAGAGGCTAAGAACAACATGAGTGGTGAAACAGGTTCCTCATACCTACATCATACGAGAAGGAAAAATCGTGGTAGAAGCTATTAAACGAATGGATGCCAGATGAGATGCATTAACTATGGATAACGATAAGCCTTGAAGGCTATAATTTTCCTTTTCACTTCTTATACGTACGAATTTGCGATTGTTCGCTTACTGACTGACTTGTAGTGAGGAGTGTCTTTTCCGTTTATTCCGAAGCGAGGTGAGCAAACATACCAAACCACTGATTATTCCCAAACGGCATTTGTGGTAGACTGCAGCCGCTGTTGTGTGCGGTGAATCGCCCACAAATTAGAGATCCAAGGTGGTTGTGGTTGAAATTCACCTACTTGTTACAAATATCTTAGCTTTTAGGTGTGCAGGAAAGCTTCTTCATCCTAACCATTTGGGACTTGTCACTCGGTCATTCTGGTAGTTGATCTATTTCCCTTCTTTCAAGACTTCATGCAGTATAAAAGGCTATTTTATAAGAATACATGGAAGTTTGGATGGGATGATGTTATGTGATATGATGCGATGGGAGATAGCGCCTCATGGTATTGCTCCATGCGGTGATGGGCGCATTCTCTTGGCATTAGCACTGGATGGCCACCTGACCATAAGAGAAACAGGAAAAGCCTTTGGTAACAAAAGTGTGATGGAAAAAGGAGTGACTAGGGCTAGTTTTCCTTCATAACTTCTGGAGTCAAAGCACAGCTAAGTGGAATTCGCAGGTCGGTCGCGCCTTGTTAGGATGTGAAGATAGATTGTTTTCGTGGCGAATGAAAAGAGCAAAACAATTGGGGAGTTTTATATAGGTATTTAAATCTTATAACGAAAACTGCACCAACTTATTTGATAGGATTATAATAACTTAACGAATTGCAAACCTTATATTTTGCCAATTTGTATGGTTGATTGTGCCTACTGCTGTTGATTAGGTGGATTAGTACCGTATGAGGAGTATGCAAAAAAAGTGTTTTTAGTGATAAAAATGTGCTACGCTTCACCATGCCTGGTATTCTGTATATGTTTCAATCTGATGTTGATCTGAACATACATCGAGTTTCCCTAAGCCTCCTTTACTTACAGTGAAACGAACAAATTGACATGATTTGACTCTCCCAGAATGATTTCCTATGCATTTTCCTTGAAAAAATATTTTATAACCAAAAAAGACCTAGACTGAGGAATGATAAGCTTATGGCCTCTGCTAACTGTAAAATTCCAATTCATTCGGCTGAGTGGTACTTACTTTTGTATAAGTAGATAGTTGCTCGAGTTAATTATTCAGGAAACAAAATGAGGTCGCTGATGTCCCCCACCAAATCGCTAAGAATGTTAATGAAGTTTTTTTTTTCAACATTTCACTAAATCCAAGGTGCTGGGTGACATTTTTCCTGACACAACCACAAAGCACTTTCTAAGAGTTATTTGTTATATTTTTTAATTCAAATGGAAAACTATGCATAAGATGACCCATCATTGTTCCTAAAAACCAATAAGTTTTGGTCTTAGATTTGATCAGTCCTATACACCCTTAACCCCTAATGGTTCTTTGTACTACACTTAATGATTAAATGAGTTTAATTATGTTCACTCGATCCTGATAAGGGGTAGGCTGCTCCGGGCAAACAACTATTTTCGAAACTGTTTCTGAAATTACTATCAAGGGCTATATTTCGGAGTTGTGGCATGTATAAAATACACTTAAAGGATATCTTAGTAGGGTAGTTTTTGGTAAACATTCAGAAAGGTGGCAAGTGTAAGCATTATCCATTATGTATGTGACACCTAATTCCACAAATCCAAATTTTATTTGGATTCCATTAACGCCCATTATTTTACCTTAATGCTGCACCTTATCAGTTATAAGTAAAGCGATTATCATCACTAACATTAACTACCCTATTAGTGGGACTTTGACAGAATGATGTCATACAATAATCCTAAACACTTCCATAAACCTCTTCAAAATCCATCACTGACGGCTGGAAACGTCTCAAACATGACGACTAACCTCAATGTAAGCGAGGTCAGATGGATAATCCAACTGCCTTCCAGCCAGACCGCAACTCATGCCCAGAAGTCCGCCCTCATTGGTCGCTGCGCGAGTCTGTTCCACTGCTGGCAGTGCCCTCACCGCATTACAAAAGTCTTCCACGGTGACTCCGTAGGGCAATCGAGAACGTGACACAACCACCGCCAACCTCGCGCATTGATTGGTTAGTCGAACGGATGCTGGCCGACATCCGGGCAACGCCGGTGGTAGTCCTGGCGGAGTTGGCGACACAGCTGAGATCTCGGCCAAGCTTGCATTGACACAACGAGCGCGCGCGTAGCACGGTGGAGTAAGGCATAGGGGAGGCGACGGCGCAGTACTCAGCAGATGACATTCTTCACCTTCTTTACACGCGAAAGGATCGTTCTCTCTGCTGGCAGTCAGGCAGGTCCAGTAGCCACAGAATTCCTGAATATGGACACCCAAAAAATATCCAATTTTGATGAATAATGACAAGTTTTAAGAAGTAAAACTCACCCTTTTGCAGACAATATTGCCCTCAACGCACTCACAAGTGGCACAGTAAGAGGCCCACTTCTCACCATGGTCATAGATTCGGTGATTGAATCGACAGGATGGGGGTTTGGGCGCTATTGGGGCAATCACCTCCTCGCAATGACGTCCGCTGCGGCCTTCAGGACAGATGCACTCATAGGTGCCGATCCTGTCAACACAACGCGCTCCGTAAGCGCATGGATGGTCTACGCATTCGTCAATGTCTGTGAATTTGGAGGAAAGTTAGGAAAGGGTTGGAATAAAAAATGCTGATTGCTGGTTAAAACATTAGACCACTCAAGATGTTAATAACATGCGTTTTATCCATCTCAGCCCCACGATTGTGCCGTTGTTTTGATTTTCAAGTAAAACGTCGAACACATTTTTGTCTTAAGGGGAGAAGAGCATCCAGAACGTTGATGTTCGGTATGAGGGACTCAAATTAGATTGGGTCTTTCAAATAGAAATTAAGCTAATGAACCAGGTTGGTTAAAAACTTTCAGTCGCTAGGTCAATCGCAAATAAGGCCTATACTTTTCCCCAATGAGGCAAAAAATGTGGCGCATACGTACTGGGTTGCCACCGCGACTTCCCAAATGGTGGTTTATTTCCAAAGTCACGTTAGTCTCGAGGTCTTATATCAGAGAAGTAATGAACACACTGATAGTCTTTAAAAGCTGTCATCGTCTGCTAATACACAGCATTTGACGTCTATTTGCTCACCTTCCACCTCGACTTTATCAGTTTATCTGTTCGTAAACGGTTCGCTCCATCACTGAAATTAAACGTGACTAAAAGATGTTTTGATAATTTTGAAATGCATTAAGCAGTGTTGACACGTAATTCCTCATTATTATCAAGAATAAATGGTCTTCATAGCCATGATTTGTAAACTTTCAAGTGATCCATCACCAGCATTATTGTATATCTTCAAATCATTTATGGTGCTACATTCTGTTAGCCTGTATCGTAGAAAGCATCTATAAAACACGTTTACCAAGAGGCTTCAAATCATCTTTGAGATCAAGTTATGCTTAATTTGTAAGGAAGATCTAACTAAATTACAACTATCAGATTCAAAAATATTTTGTGACATGTAGTTTTAGAATTGGAAAAAATGGTTGGGAGCACAATTAAAAGTGCTTACAAAAGTACAGTTTTCAAGAGGTCATTGCGCCGAGTTACATTAAAAGCCGCACACTTTTTTGCCTCACGGTGTATTCTGGACCATGAGCCCAGTCTCATTTCAATTCTCAAGGTCCTAAGTCTTTGAAGGCGTTTAGGATTCGTCCTTAACTTTACCACACTCAGATAAGTCATTTAGAAACAATCCACAATTTTTACGTTCACTTTTTTTTAACGTATGCCAATCCCTTCAAATAAATCATGAAAACTTTCCCATTACTTGCACACACAACATCTTGTGTCCAAGGCGCAAGAGAAAACGCCATGAAAATCAGATTTTGGCAAAGTTTTGAATGAGCAAGTTAGACTTACTATGCCGACAATCCACGCCCATGAATCCCTCAGCGCAGATACACTCAAAGCCATTGACAAGATCCCGACACTCGCCTCCATTCTGACTGCAAATTAAAAAGAAATGAAAAATGGAACATTTTGGGTTCAAAGAATCTCTATGTGAGTTCATAGGAATAGTGCCCGTCATGGAAACTTGATTAATTGTCTTTAGATGAGCGGATTAGTGTGTAATCGTTTTGTTCCTGTAGAGTTGAAAAGTTATGCGGTTATGAATGGCTAAATAGAAGGAATTGCATGAAGTTCTGGTCAAAACATCGCTTCCCTCTAGTGATGCAGTAATGTTAAATAACAACAATTTTATCACCTTCGTGCATACAATTGAATTCGAACTTCACCCTGTGCATTGCTCTTTGATACTTGAATTTGTAATACTTTTAACAGTTCTTTAGACCCCTAACCATTCCTCCACTTTTCTAGTTAAATGATGGGTACGTAAAATTAAATAAGATAACCAGCCTAAGAGTGAGCCTATCCTCAAGATTCACACAAGCGATGTACCACTGAATACGAATTTTTAAATAACCTCACAAGTTGATATTTTTTTTCGAGTTTTGTTTGTGATAGTCCTGAGACTGGTTATACATTCATGAGGGTCAGTCATCATCATTGCTACCAGGATTACACACTATGGCCAGCAATAATCACATTTGTTAACAAAACTAAGGGTATGTCTTAGTAAAATATACCTTACCAAGGATTATTGCGACACTCATCGATGTCCTCTTCACATCGACCTCCAGCAAATCCCGGTGGGCAGAGACAGTAAATGCCTTCGCCAACATTGATGCATGTACCTCCATTCCTGCAAAAATTACCATTTTCGCAGGCTTGATATTCTAATGACCCTAGAGGTTTGAAAGTTTTCGGTTAAAAGAGACCTTATTTTGCCATGTAAAATGCTGTATAAAGAGATGGGATGAGCAGTGCGGAGACGGAGTTTTTAAATTCGTTGATTCCACAGTATTTCCACTAGTAGGTAAGTGCTTCACTTTTAGAAAAACTTGTTTAGAACAAAGTTAGGAAAACGCCACTTATAAAAATACTATATAATAAATTCTTGAAGACCCACTAACGCCAACTTTAAGGTGTATTAGTGAATAGTAATGCTTTCAGACTACAGAGCACAAAAATGCTTATAGCATCAGACAAGAATCAGTCTAGCTAAACAACAAATCTAATGTCAAGTGTTTAATACACGGATTCATTTAAGGTATAACCAACCCAAATCATTGACCAAAAGATCATGTAACCTCCATGTCAAGTGAAAGCCGAAGTCTCATGCTTTCAGCCTTGTCTTACTGAAAACAGCTAGAGGTTGCAAGAGGTAGCCGGAAAACTGATTGCATCACTTAGCTTCTGCTTAAGAGTTAGCAAAATTTCGAAATAAGCTGCAAAACTGAATAAAAAAGTGAAACAATGACGGTGCAACGTCTTCAATAATTATTATCCCACACGGTAAGTGCTTGAAAGTTGTCTTAAAGTTCAGCCCTAACTACTTGGTGAAAAACAGTAGTTTGTTTAGTTGACAAGGAATGACAGCCGGCGTTTTTCACCACATAAGGTCCAAAATTTTGAGCACATTTTATGTAAATATAATTTGAGATCGACAATATGAAAAAATATGCGGGTTTTTTGTCTATACCGAAATGTTCATTTAGCTTACATTTCAAACCCCGAATGTCTTTCACGAAGGCTATTTTAGATAATAGAATAGTGATTAAGTAAAAGGTAGGAAAAGGGGAAAATAATGAATCTGGTGCATTGAATAAATCCAAACCCACGTGTCTGACAGAACAATCCGGTCCAACCAGCCGGACATTGACAGAAGAAACCGTGAGAACTTAGAGCATCGTCCAAACACACCCCACCATTGTGGCAGGGCTGAGAGACTTGGCATGGACTGCGTGGCATTGGCAAGTGACACCATCGGCCTGACCAACCGGGTGTGCAGCGACATTGGAAGGAGACGTCACCTGTCACCTCCATTTGCTGACAGTAGGCACCATTCCGACAGGGTTCACTGTCGCATGGCTGTAGCTCTGTGGAAGTACAAAGGTGGCCATTTCTATTGTTAAAAATTCCCCAATTTTGAGCTGAATTACTCGCATTTTAGAGAAATTATTTATGAATGAAAACTCATAGAATAAATAGAGATGGTGGATGTACGCAATAATAGAAAGGTTTTAAGTTCATTTCAGGTGAAGTGTCCGAGACATGGACCCCCAAACTTCGAAGTGCCAAAACAAAATTGAGTACCTTATACCTGGTTTTGCCATAATTTTGCTGGTTTTAATTTTAGCCTTCCATGGCTGAAATCTCACGCTGATAGCATGGGACCCTATCAATGTCACTGTCTTTACAATGGCAAAAAAGTTGGTTAACACGCCCTAAAATCTTGATTTCATTGGACGCATGCTGCGTCAAAACGTCGGGGAAAAATATCCACCGTGGAAGAATGAACTTGGGGACTCGTGCAACCAAACAGTGGTATACATTTTTCAAGTCTCCACAAGTCATTGTCGCTTGCTACTCCAAAAGCCGTCATAACCTATTTATTCGTCTAAAAGGGTATTTTCTGTCTTTTGACATTGGAAACGGAGAAATTTTTCATGGGTGGACCTGAAAACAATGATAAAAACTTGAAAAGACTTTATAGCAGAGCAGTATTTGTTTCACTTTTAAGTTCCACAAATCAGCCCCAACCGATTCCACTGCATCTAAGCTAGTACACCTCATTGCATCTTTTTTGGTGCACAAATTTGCATTCACAAGCTAGAATTACCCGTCCAAAATCCGTCCTTTTTGCTCATTATAATGAATGCTTCGCATTATTATTTTAATTTTTTTATTCTCTTACCACGTTCACAAAACGTTCCTGTGAATCCCTCTGTACACAGGCAATAAAAGGCGTCAGCCTCTCCATTCACGCAAGTCGCACCGTTTCTGCACAGATGTCCCATCTCTGCACAGTTGTCTTTCAACTGTTGGCAAAACCTTCCAGTATAGCCATTCTCGCAGACACAGGAGTACTGAGAAGTAACTGGATCATGGAGGCAAATTCCATGCTCTCCACAAGATTCTGTCGATATAGCAGATGATTGGGCATTGAAGGTTACTGCGGGAAGGAGAGGAACCTGCAAGGAGCTCTTCGTGTCCGCACATGGATCCAAAAGGCTTGAACAACCCTCTGGACCACAGTAGGGACGCCGATGTTCACAGCGACGACCATAAAAGCCTTCGTTGCACTTACAGTAGTAGTCGTAGGGACTGAGATTGTAGCAAGGAGCCTGGTTCTCGCATGGATTTGGATCACATCCACGCCTAGCAAACTGTTTTAAAGTGGTTCAAAGAGGTCACTATAATGTGCTTTTTATCATAATCAAGTACAGTAAGGGTCTAGACCTAACAAAATTCAAAAATAAATTATTCTACTGGACGACAAATCAGTAGCGATGTTTCCACTACCTGTAGAGGTGAAAGTTTACAATGGAATACCTCACAAAGGGTGCCAGTAACACCTTCAGGGCAGACACATTGGAAACCACCCTCGACTTCCACACAGACGCCCTCGTTTTTACAAGGATTGGAAGCACATTTGCGATTGACCTCGCAATTGCGACCAGAGAAACCCTCGGGGCAGGTGCAGTAGTAGTCACCGATTAAATCCTTCATAAGCAAAAAATTAAGAACGAATTTATAATTTTATGTGCATTAGCGCTAGCAGTAAAGGCACTTACGTGACATGTTCCTCCGTTCAGACACTTGTCAACGCAGTCGTCGATGTCTAAGTTGATTCAATAGGATATAGTCTTAGGAATTTGTAGGTAGGTTTTTTTGCGACATCTAATGACATATAAATACTTTTTAAAGTTTTATACAGAAAATACAAAAAAGAGTCACTAAGACTGATATAAATAAGACTTCTTCGGTGGACAAATGCTGACAAAGAATTCCTTCTGCAGTACGCAAAACTCACCCAAAATAGGCATTTTTTAGGAGCAATGTAGTGATTTGTGCCTTAGAAGTAATAATTCTGTGTGTTTACTCGTCGTGGTGAATATAAATAGCACTTCCCATCCCAAATCAGTCCCTCGGTAGGTCAATAAGCATGCCCATTCCAACGACAAGTTCGCATAATGAAGAGGAAATTAACACGCTTTGCGGTTTATTGTTCTCTGCCCATGCGAGGCATCTAAGATCCATTTGCTTTGTAGGTTCCGACACAATTATTCTAATTTTTCAAAAGTGTAAACCAGTGGTTTTGTCATGTGCGAAAAATATTACTAAATATTCTTTAAAAATTGACTCGATTTGTTGTTTAAATAAATGGTGACACTTTAATCTCTTTTATTAACAAGGGAGATGGGAAACGATTGTGCTTGAAATCACATTTGATCAAAGACATTCTAAATAGGCAAATGGCTATTCTTGTCAAACAACATCTACTGTTATAGCCCACCCAGGCAGCTGCATAGGTAGAAGCTAAAATACGGTTGTTACTCTGTCAATGACGTTTATATTTTAACTACTTCATGTATCTTACAATAATCATAAGGAGTATCCTTACATATTCTTTGCATACAAACCTTCTTTCACGCAAACAGGTGTCATTAGGTTAACAATCATAAGCTGGAAAAACCAAAATGTTACGTCTCTCGGTTGTGTGGCTCAACACTACAATAAATTTCAAAAAAAATAAAATAATTCTTGCTAAATTTGCAGATAAAACAGGGACGGATTAAGCGGTAACTCAGTACTTTACTGATTTTGTGAGTACCAGACCTAACTCCTGTGCTTTGCCAAGGATTTTAATAAAACCACCTGAGATTTGACCAATTAAAAGGGAACGAATATCTATTAACCTTATTTGGTCCTGCAATCGAGAACAAATTGTTAACATGTTTAAGCACCGACACCGAAAACAACTTTAATCTATTTGGCCAGACACAAATTTGCAATTCAATACTTTAATTGTTTGTTTAACTCCCGATTTTGGTTACGCGGGTACTTCAGGCCTCGCCACTGGTACTTCCGTTGAGCGGCGTGGCCTCCGGGTCAAACCTTAACGTGACGGAGGAAGGCTACAGGCTTCAAATGGGTTTACAATGATGTCTACCTTTGACAACAAACCAGTCCTGTGTTCTGTAGGAATGCTAATGACATTTAAAGCGACACTGGCCGTGAACATTCCGGACAAGTTCATTACAGAGCTGTCTACTGTAACTGGATGAAGATTAACTATGTGAACATGCGTAACTCCTGCACCTTTCTACCAGCTGGGCAGAACCCAGATAGGTCTGGCTGAGCAGCACTGAAGTGGTAACAAAGTGGCCAAGTGAAATAAACTCGAAAAATTATTTTCACTAAACTACTTAAAATATCACCCTTTAGTTAATGACTCCTCCCTTAGGCCAGTAGCCTTATGAATGGCGATGGGCGTACGAGATGGCCAACGCATTTTCCCCTCCCCAATACAGCTCTCAAACAGAATGGAACTGTAGGTCTAGGGGAATTGACAAGCAAGATCAGTGACGTTGCAGTTTGATATCTTCTCAGTGGAATGCAAATTTGATGACTGGAACTGTTGTTTCATGGGTGTTTCTTCCACATCACCTTCTACGTTTTGATGACCGATGAGCAATTTCACTAGAGGGAGCGTCCAAATGACACTCAAAAGGAGAGAGAGCTGTGTGATACTTTGATCATTTATTTAACTCTTCGTTTTGGTTTCAAGGCTACTTATGTCTTCGGAGCATGGTCTCCGGGCTTTCTGAACATCGGCGATAAATTTCCCATCCTTGCATTATGACTTCTCGGTGCGCTACAACAATAATATCAGGTAATTCATAAATCACTAATCCCACCACTAAATCAGCCCTCTTTAATAAAACCAAACACTGAACTAGACCGAATTTTAGATTCTTTGACTTAGTTATTTCACTTTTAATTATGTTGATCTGAACCTTCACAAAATTGAGTGGAAAATGTAAGGCCAAATTAAAACGCAATGAGTTGACATTACCGCCATTCCTTTGCATTTCAGTTCAGTTTTTCATGATTTTAGCAGATAAACAAGGCACAACGCAGACGAATTAGAAGAAATTGCCTTGTGGACGAGAAAAAAGACAATAAGCGTCCCCACTGCTACTCACTTTGATCACAAAGCTCGCCAGTCCACCCGGGCAAACAGAGGCAGTCGTGTTTGATGCCACCATGAGAAGCAGTGGCCAATTGGGTGCATTTGTGCGCGTGTACACACTGCGAATCGATGCAGGGAGAACGTAGTTGGCACACCGAGCCCTGAAATCCTCGTGGACAGTCACAGCGGAAGCCTAGGCCGTCTAGGTCCTGACACCTGCCTCCATTCATGCAGAGGTTCTGCTCACAGAAGTCGATATCTAGAGGGCGGTGGAGTCAAAACAGCTTGTTAGGTACTATCAGGGGAGATCAAAATTATTAAGCATTTCCTCAAAATTGCCTTTGAAATCATTCGAGAGGCTAAATTAGAAGGTACACCATGTTTAATTCGATGGCTCTCTTGGAATTTCATCTCAACACTTGTTGATTTTCTGTTTATTGTGGATGTGCTTCAGCATAGTTTTAGGCAAACATTTTTCCAAGTTGTATCTTAAGAGGCGTTTCATATCGTTGGTGCTGTATACTTTGCAGTATTATTTACTCTGGGCTGTTGCTACCGTAAGTAGTTCAAGATGTTGACGAGTTACACGGTTAGAGTTGTAAGTGTGGTTTTAAAATTATTTGTTTTTATAGAATGACTTGGTTTTGGAAAGATTGTTGGACTTAAAAGGGGAAGTTAGAAAAAGCGTATACGTCCATCTCAGGTTATTAGTCAATTAACAGAGGGACTTAACGAGGTTTTCTTTAACGCATATTTAAAATAGATTGGGTGAGGAGTCTAACCGAGTAATCCGATAACCATTCAGAAGACTGTTGTGGTTCTACCGTGAACCCCAAGCAGTGGATACGTCCTAAACTAGGCCCATACTGATGGTGAAAATCTTTATTCTAAGTTGAAATTTCAAGAGTTGCTGTATAATTTGAAACAAAGAGATAAAATGAAAAAGTGAGTTGAATTAGTTGGATCAACGAATTCTACCTCCGAAATTATTAAAGGAGAGAGCGTCAGAATGAGTAAACGTAGATAACATAGAAGCCTTTTTCCCCTCACTATCGAAACAAAGATTTGAAATGCCATTACAGCTTATGGCTACAATTTCCAGAAAATTTACAAATTTGTTATGTTATCTGCTTTTTGGTCATATTTTTATCCAATTTCAGGTGCAAAAAATTCGCCTTTAAATCGAGGTAACAAATAATCAGAAATTTCTTCGAAACCTCTTTCACTATTCACTGTATACTAGTTACCCAACCTTAGCCCCAGCGTTTGCAATCAGTTCATTTTTTCCTCCTCCTCTTCTTGTGCCATAATAATCTTAAGTCGAAGTGAAGTGGGGCAGAAAAGTCCCAGACTTGGCCATCTTCGAGAAAGGAACCTAATTAATCTGCACAGTCATCTCATTATTAATTCAGACGCAGGCCTGACTGTAGGTCAGTGGGGATAGTCGAAATTAGCCATTGTAGTGGAAGATGAGGGGAGAATAATAATGGGGCTGGATTATAGCCCTGCAGTGAAGTTAATCCTCGAACGGTGTGGGGCAAGAGGGATTAAAGCAGTATTCCCACATCGGACTAATCCAAAGTTTTGGGGAATTTCATGACTTACTTACAAGGACTATAGTGACTGTATTCTCAAAGATTGAAAATTTAAAGCCCATATGGTATAAAATTTTCAGCAATCTCCAATGGAACTGGATTATAGGTGACAAACTTCCACCTTAGTTATTCATTGTCAACAAATCAGATTTGCAGCTTTACTGTCCTTTTAAATTGCTTCTCTGAAGTGAATGTTCAAAATGATTTGTATCACAAACAGTTCAAAATGAAGACGAAGTATATGTCAGGCGGGAAAAAACCTTGGCTGACTTTGACACAGCCTGAAAGTACCAGTGGTGGCTTAGCACTAAGGCCCAAGGCTTTCAACATTTCCTCGGTACGAAGCGACTAGAAGCCTAGAAATCGGTTGAATAGGTAGACAGATTGTCTAGCAGGATTTATGTAGTAGCTAGAAAATGAACAGACCCCTTAAACCTTTCCCTCCTTTCCGGATGGATCCTACTCGAGGTTGATACTTCATAATTTGTCGGCCAAAATTCTATCCTCATATTTCCCCATCCATCCACTCCGTCATTTACCTCTCAATCCACTTAATCTCCAATTAATTCATTCACTCATATCAGAACCATTCGTTTACTAATCCTGGATTAACCACCCATTCAGTAGATGGACAGTTTACATATGTGCTTATCCAGACATTTGTCAGTCACGGATCTACTCATCTAACTCTTCATTCTTCCACTAAACTGAATGGATAAATGACATAAATGCTGTAAATTGTGCATATGGGAGCATAAAGTGACTTACTTTGATCACACAACTCTCCACGCCATCCTGGTTCACAAACGCAATCGAAGCCACCGTCAGAATTCCCACGACAATGGCCACGTTTGCAAGGATTTAGCTCACACGGTTTCAACTCTGAAATGGGAGCAAAGGTACCCCCAAAATCCTTATTATAACACTCCACGATCATGCTAAAACAAATCTAGTTTCCAACTCTAGAAAGTGGTCACAAATTAGGGTTTTAAGAGACTAAATGGGACAAAAATGCTTACTTTTCTCGCATGTATCACCTCTGTAACCACGTGGACAGATGCAATGAAAGGGTTGTGAAGTGATGTTTGTATTCTTGCAGATTCCTCCATTTAAACAGGGTTTGTGACGACCGCAGTAATCTAGATCTATGAAAAGACGCGCCTGTTTAGTATCTCGAAAGATCAGTGATATAAAATCCTAGACCTCTTCCATTGTCTTAAAGCCGGTTCAACAGGTTGCGAGTATTAATGAATAAAGATGATATACGTATCAATTAAAACTATTAGCGAGTGAAGTTATAAACTATATATTCTAATCTAGAATCACACCGATTGCCTTAACTCTTAGTGATTGTATTCGTAAACAAAAATACGGTCACCCGCAGATTATAAGCAACTTAATTTGCCTAGGTTTTTAAAACAAGTTGGCCTATTTCCAACACAATTTTGTCAAATAAGTTATTACAAACTGACGAAGTACCCGTGTCACATATTTGTGACACTGTACACAGGTATGAAACCCATGGTGGCATATATAAGCAACACTAGTTGTGAGCCAGCCTAATAAGAATGTCGATTTTGAGCAAAACTGAAAAAAAGAAAAGTAACGAAGGTTTTTCTCAGAACGTAAAAGGGACGTATAAAAGGACGGGAAGATTGAGCGCAGGGGTCATTTTGCAATAATTATTAAGAATAAATTCAGCAAAAGAATGCATAGTACTTATAACTGTCTGTAACTTAATAATTTCACTATATAAAGTGAGCAAAAAGCAGATGAGATTTCGGGGCCTACCTTGATCACAGAAAGCACCACCCCAATTGGGAAGGCAGTGACAGGTAAAGGGTGCATTGTCGCAAGTTCCGTGTTGACAACCGGGATAGGTGATGCATTCATCGCAGAGCTCACCCTTCCATCCATTAACACAACTACAATCAGACAAATACTTCCAAAGTTTGAGGTTTTCTTTGCAATAAGGTGTTTTCTAGCTCAAGTAGACTTTGCTGAATGCAAATATTTTTCAAAAATTTTAAGCCTTAATTGAATACCTGTATGACTAGTTAAATTAAGTAGTTAGTTCGGTTACCGGTATCTTTCGTTAAAAGATTTTCCGTTAGCACATAAAACAGGAAGCAGCAGTTTGCCCTTCCGTTGTGCCCACCACTATATTCCCCTAATTCCGAATCCCTGAAGGCACTGGTTAAACCAGATTGATGTGATTCGAGCCTGACTACTTTGCGAGCCATGCTTAGCTTGATTCTAAAGCTGCAAATCCTTCTCCCAAAATATGCTGTTCTTGTAGAATATTCTGTTGAAGTGACTTAATTAGTTCTCTCCGACGAGTAAGCCATTTACAATAGATGCAACAAGTTAATAAATACCGTCTATTCTTAATACCAATAAAAAATGTACATCGATACCGCTTTCATCCAAGTTTAACATGTCAAGAGTAATGAAATTATTGGGTGACACCTACATTAAACAGGCGAAAATGTCATATTAAAAGCTATCAAGTAAGTAAGTCCTGCATACCACGCATAAAAAAAGAAAATTAGCTTTAAGATGGTCAATTTGTTGTTCCATACTTCCTCAATGCCCGGTATTAACCCTTTCGGTGGTTTTGGAATCAAATTATTGAGTTGTGTTTGGAAATGACTTTGTATGTGTCAAGCCTTGCAGAAGATGTTCAAAACCCCAGACAAACATTCCTGTTAAAATTATTTTAAGTGTCCATTTTCGTGATTGTTTTCTCGAACAACCTAGGGGACCACCTCTCTCTCCTTCACTCCTGATTGGCTGAGGTCATGTTTAGGTGCACTTTAAATACGCTGACATTCACTGCTATTAATGCAGGTAACGTTGTCATCTACTGCCTATCTGGTTGTTGCCCTCGATAGGACCCAGGCTACCCCTGTCCATAAAAACTTCATTTACAGCAATGGGCAACTCAATACATAAAAACTTTATACAATTTTCACATAAAATCATTGGTTACCCACGAACAATCATTTCACTGAACAATTTACTCGCCTAAGCCATTTACCACCAGGTTTTCACAACACTGTACATTCTCTGTTCACTTTTTGAAGGCAAAAATGTGAAGCTAATATCCATTTGTTCTTTATAATCCGACATTGTAGAGGAAAACATTTTCCAAAAAGGTCGGAGAACTCGGTTTCGGTCAGTCAGTCACTGAGATGAAGGGCTCATTCTTTAAAGACAACGCCAGCTGTCATATCCCAGCACTTTATTGCACTTTGGGATGGAATAGAATAGAATGTGACTGAAGCTACTGCCTCACTTCAGCCAGCATATTTCCCTGATGATAGTTCCCCATTTGGTAATTACCATCTTTTTTATTCTTAAATATGCCAAGTAGATAGATAAGATAGAAAAAAGCAAAGGAGATTGGGCATTCTTTCGGCTTTTGTAGATAAAATATTTTGTTAATCAAGAATTCACAATCTCACCTTGTTGAGAAAAGATTAAGTTTCAATGACGAATATTTCAATAAATGTGATGTCTTTGCAAATTTTAGACAAATATTTAATTTCTCCTATCCGAATTACGATAAGTTATTCATCTGTTTGGCGTCATCTTTTAAAACATTTTCAAAAGGTGGGTTTGAAAAACTCCAAAGGATTTAAAACAAGGAGATTGGCGTCTCTTATGCTCAAAAAATTGGCCTTCTTGGGTCTGTTTTAACTGCTTTAGATAATGCTAGAGAAAAATGATCGAAAGACGAGAATGGTAGCTTTAACTTACATGCATTCATTGGGACTTTTGCAAATTCCATGTGTTGGGTGGCATCCCTTTCGACACATGGCTAAAAGCAGCGTAAACATCTGAAGGAGACCTTTAAGGCCACTGTCTAGTACTTTGAGGGGAAGGAGGTCAAGTATTTACAGGTAAAGGAAGGGTGGTATTAGATTTTAAACTAACAATAGGAAAGAATCTTTAAATAATGTGACTAACTGAAGGCGTCAACAATTTACAAAGTGGCAATCCTAAGTCGTCCTTTTAAGGTTAGGTAGAGTTGTTCATCCACCTCTACATTGACTAACCATTGAAAAATCTCATTCATTCACACATCAATCCATAACTTGATCAGTAAGTCTTCTATTTATCCACCATTCCAGTCAGTCATTGCGAACTGACCCATTCACCTTCCTGCATTTTCCTCTGCCTATCCAACCATTTAGTGATCCATTCTTTTTCATATACAACGCTTCATCTGCCGACTTACTTATCCATCCATTTATCATCCTAATCTTCAGCTCTATCCACCTATTCAGTAGTACATTCCTTCAAATTCCATCATTCTGACCCCTCAATCTAGTTCTTTTAGTCTATCCGTGTATCTATTCATGCCGAATTCATTAATCAGGATTCAAGAGATGTATTCCCATCATCTTTTATCCTTAAACACTACAGTGTCAAGGTATACTTACGTCGATCGCAGTTCTCCCCACTCCATCCCTTCTCACAGATTCTATTACCATGCCGATCACAGGTAAATCGACCAGCCTTGGGCTGACACTCCACCGCACACTTCAAGCCAAAGTGGTGTGGAGTGCAGGCGAGTCTCATGCTGAGACGGTAGGTTGAGGAGGTGGATTCGACCACTATGGACTGCCACTGAGGTGGTGTGGTGGGTAAAAGAATGTTGCGATGGAGAGTCCTATCCACGAGGTATGTAGATGTGGATACTCCGTCTGGTTTAGCATCGAACACCTCCAAAATCATGGTGTAGAGAGTCTGAAAGGGGGGTAAAATGGAATGCTGAATAAATTATCTATCAAGCAATTTGTTGATCTTCCCAAAACCCAGATTTTTTTTATAAATAGATAGATATTTTTAATACATTGATCAACGCAGAACAGTTAAATGGTACAGATAATTAGAGGAGAGTTTTGGAAAGGAAGGCAAGGATAAATCTGGATCTCATCATCACGTGTGACTAAATCTGGGTGCACAATTTTGCGCCTCAATCAAAACCAGTACAAATGCTGTTGGAATATGCGGTTTGCATTGACGACGAAATATAGTGGGCTTCTCCAGAATTTTTCAGCCCTGCTGAAACAGCTTTCTGTGGTAAAGCTTTCCAGACAGCGTCTATACTTTGGAATTAGAATATGAATCCAGAAGAACGCTACTGCCTTATGGGAACTCAAAAGTCCCGATTTAATTAGAACATACTTGGATCAATGCCTTTAGATCGGATAGTATCTGGCTGATGCGTTAAATTTCCTACAGTATAGATAGGACTTTTAGAGAGAATTGACTCCTTACTTTTATATCTTCTTTGGTAATTACAATGTTAGGGAGAGAAGAAGTGGAACCTGTCATATGTCTACATTTATCCGGTAAAGCAGCCGTCCATGTAGTTTAGCACGGAAGTTATTCTTCTGGAATGAAGAGAGCTGTGACTCTATTGCGGAAATTTAATAATTATACTTCATAACTAATGGCTTTACAGGGGGTGCAAATCTGCTTTTTTGATGTATGAGAGGTTCTGAATTAATTTTAAGCTTTCATTTAGGTCTTCTCCGTTTACAAGAGATCGTTTGACTGATTTTTTCTACATATTTCAGAACTGCCTTAGATGCGATGACTACACATGTCGTGCCACAAATTTCCTCTGTGACGTAGGCTGTTCTTTCAGTTAGTGATAAGAGATACCATCCAGGAGTTAATGTAGTTCCAAAATTTGTATAAAAAGCAAACCCAGGACGAAAGAGCAGGGCATCGAGAGCGGAAGATATCCAACTACCTCAAAATAAATTATCACCTTCTTATAAGGTAAATAGATTTTGAGGTAAGAATCACCTACAGAAGGTTTTCTTACGATATTCCATTCATAGAAAGATTTCAGTCTATAATACTTCCTAATAAGAGGAAGCTTGTAAATTTTGCTTTTGTGCAACTTCTTGTCTCCAAAAGCAAGTAGCATAGCATAGTCTTCCAAGGTGTCTACTTTGGAAGTGTGGAGTAGGCTGTGAGTGGACTATACTTCCTACTTCTTTGTTCGCATTATTTTGCATGTATGTGGTAGTAAAGCTCGTGTTGCATGAGTGGACTCACAATGAACTCAACATTAATTTCCCGTGGGAAATTACGGACAACGTAATTTGGCTTTCTAACAACCAGTAAATAAGAATAGGCTTCAGTAAAATTATTTCTTTTTAAATAAATGCATTAATACTTAGGTAAGAAAGGGAATAAGAACGAGAAAAGCCTTTTTGTGAACTCATAATGAGAGAGCCAATGACGTTACTCTTTTATTCAGGGAGCAGGAAAATTGGACATCTGTATCATTTACCATATGAAATGCAATTTTTATCAATTTTTTGTTAATGATAAGCACCACATATTCATTTAAATTGCTCAATAAGTGACCAATCAAATTCCCCAAAGTAGCCTAACTCAAATTAAACCGGTAAATTTTATCCACTCTTTGAGCTGAATACCTCTGGTCCCCTAGGAATTGTGCAAAACTCTTCTCAACAAGACATTGTACAAAACTGGGTGGGAGGAGTAAGTTCCAACTCCTGCCTTTAATTATGCATGATGTGCGCATAACTAGGGGAATGGAGGGGGGTACAAGATGCGTCGCATCCCTAGCCCCACCCATCCCTTCCTTTGAGGGGGGAAAATTACAGGTTTTCTAGGGTCCAGTCCTCTAATTACTGTCCAAGGTTAAAGACCTGGCCCTCCTTAGGCTGTTGTTATGCGGTTTATAACTATTTTCCTTTACCAAGTCGATAATAATTCAGTCTAAATAAAGCACTTTATTAAGAGCTACTTATAAATTTAAAAAAGTTCACAAGCACATGCAAGCCTAAATGAGTAGTTTTCCGCATTCAATAGACAATCTGTTATTTCCATGGTAGCTATGTATTTTCAGACCATTTGAAGGAAAAAATATTCTAATTTTAAAAGTTTCCCTGAATGAATAGGGCCAAAAGGCAAGCTTTCTTGAATTTTTTTTTAAATATCTAATACAAATCATTAACCAACTAATTGTTTGCTTGCAATTTCAGTGCTTTTAAATGTACAACACTAAACCAAAACATTATTTAAGATTTAAGGCAACTAACAAGCCAATTAGATGACTTTCGATGTTTCTACCTGAGCTCAGTGTCACAAAGAGGGAATATGTGCCAATTTTTCCTTTATAATGGTTGATTGTGCCAAATGGAGTGCAGCAAACAGACTGGCTGAGTTTAATAACCTAAAACAAATTTATGATGTTCACAGACTGATAATAAATCGGTTATTACTTTTTGATCACTAACTGAGTTGGTCATTTCAGAGCTATTGAATCCGATCTTTCTCCAAAACCACGATGGTGAGTGTACTAACTGTAAAATATCCCATTCTATTTGAGAGGCAGTACATCTAAATTCCACCATACTCTTTTCGTCACCTTTTGTGGAGCTTTGGATAACTCAAAAATATGTCCGCCTTCTAGCTGAGTACCCGTGCTAGTAAATATTTGATGAAGCGTGTATCTTCTCGTAGGCCAGTGCCTCTCTCTGGGGAATTTACTGGTGGAGGGGTTTCTTGTGGGTGGGGGAAAAGTCGATAAGAAATCCCAGCTACACTTGAATTCCCTTCCATTTCGCCTGCTGGATAGAATTTATACCATCCTATCTTGAAGCTAAAGTTGTATTTAGCGGTATCCATGTGAATTAAAGCATAGATTAAGAAATGCATACTTTTGGAAAGGTGATGGGAAGGCTCATTTTAAACTTTGCAGTGAAGGTCGTTGGTATACGTTTGGGATGAATACCTTTCCTAGGAAGCTAAATAAATACATTAGGTAAGATATATAAATACACTTTAGTTCATTATGATAGTAGTCCATCTACCATAGTAATTCCAGAATACATAACATTCGATCCGTTGAAAATATAATCATAAATATTTTCCTGTAGAAAACATTATCAATAAATGTGCGAGCCGAATTTTGTAATTTTAGCCTGCAACTGGGGATATAATGCCATAGGAAGGTATAATAGAAGCACATAGTTTAACGTCGGATCCAGTAGAGAGTTCTTCATCAAGAGCGAGGCGTTTTTTTGTCAGTTTGCATCTCGTGCTTTAACTCACCGAAAAAGCTTAAAAGTTGATGAATACTTGACATATTTTGAGTTTTGGAAAACATATAAGAAATGCGTCACTTTAATTCATTTCAAAGGAATCTGCTTTTAAGTATAAACCCAGAATCACGGCTACTTTATGTGTTACACAAGTTACAACCTTAAGGCCTCTTTTAAGCCTAAAAGTTGTCTTTTCATCCTTCACTAAATTAGCGCATATTCAGGCCGAAGAAGGCCCACGGTGTGCGTGTATCCCTGCCTGACCGATTCACCCATCCACCCATTCAACAGCTGATGTTGTACGTTCTCGTGCAAAACAGTTGCTACAGCAGAGGCCCGAGTTGGCTGGGCCACATTCATTTCTCGACCCCCCTCCACCTGACCCACTCTTCCCCTCACCTTGGCATGACGAGCGCGTCAGCTGTCGTCTTTGTAGGTAGCACACACCGTTTCTCGTTTTCTCTGCAGAACAAACATTCAGCCCAGTGAAGCTCCGTGCTTCTGCTGTAATTAGTGCTCCCTGGTCAAGTGCGCCTGATGGAAAAATCAATAAATTGGACAGTTTAAGTGAGAGCTACTAGGGTCTGCCAACCACAGGGACTAATAATTTTGGCACCTTTGTAAAGGGATGAAAAGATGCAAAACTGATAAATTTGAGGCGTCTTTGTCCAACCCTCTTTACCCACTACTTGCTAGTGCCAAAATACATACTTTTAAGAAAAACATTTGTGTGATTATCGATTCGTATAGATGAATTTGATTGGTGGGGTTACTTGATTAGTAGCGAAAAGTCAATAAAGGGTGTTGATAAATTCCACTAAGGTCAGTAATCAATAAACAAAGTACAATTTTATTAAAGGCATTTAAGTGAATTGTAATTATTTTATTAATTAAATGGACAGATTTCAAGCACAATTTTTTTTTAAAACGGAGGAAATTTGTTTCCCATCTCTAAGCCTTATAAAGTTTGTGCTATGCTAAAGTGTTCATTTTTGGTGAAAAGGTCCTTTATTTCCAATGGTTCGATCTCTACATCAGCGGTAGAGTGGTTTGCTCATCCTACCTATGGGTCTAGCTCTCTAGACGCTTCCAGATTCAAGAGCTTGATAAGGCATACAGAACTTACACAAGTGATATATCAGCTGTGATGGAATGATTTAGATGCCTCTTAACACTTTAAACAAGCTAGAAGCTTTTAATTGAGCTGACTGGGTTCTACTCTTAAATAATTACGAAAAATTGTTCTATTATAGCCGAAAAATTCGCGTAAAATCACAGCAGGGGGTCTATAAAACTACGGCAAATTCTGCACTTTGCTACCATCCTGGGTTCTGTATCGGACCAAGCCTTGGAACGAAAGAGTTTAAGTGGCAAGATTTGATGTTTTGCTTCCAATCTTTGCAATAATTTCTTATTAACCCAGATATAAGGCAAAGAATGGGATCGTGCGGTGTGTGAGAATAAAAATTAAGTGATGGCAAGAAGCATAGTAAATTGTGTCATTCGTCTGCCTCAAATTCCACTAATCGGCGATGCTTTTGTCTGCAGAAGCCAAGATAAATCTATTCAATCTCATTAGTATCTCCACCCTTCTACTCTATGTTGGACGTAATTATCGAAGCATAATCAGAGGTGACACCTACCATAATATCGCAAAATGTAAACATTTCCACAGGTCAATTTTGCGGTATGAGGTTTGCTGTTCCGCGTTATTTTGCACAACTAAGACTTTCTTACAACCATTTGATTGTCTTGGCCGATTTTAAGAAAAATTTTTGCATGTTCACCTTTGAGTTGTATTGAACCTAGTAACAGATTAACCTGCAGGAGGTAGGGAGAGCACAATACTGACACATATCCACCTAGTCTTTATAATGCTCAAACAAAAGTACTGAAAGTCATTTTGCAAACCCTCACAATTTATGGGACTTTAATTGCATCAGAAGCATCATAAACGTTTTGGTTACCTGTTCAGCTATTTAATATTCAAGAACAATGTAAGAATGATATCAGGTTTAGATTTTTAGAACCTTCTGATACTCTTCAAGGTCAAATGTGTGTGCGTGAAAATTCAGGCCGATTTCTTCCGCAAAAAAACACATGGCACATGAGGTGCTCTTCATACAAAAGTACATTTTCCAGCTTTGAGTTTTACCTGTTAATTTTTTTAAAAATTATTCTAACACACAACTCCAGCCCTAGTAACGCAGTATAGAAAGTACAGGCAATAGTAACACCTTTGTAAAGTTGCACCGAATTGACTTTCGCCCTGATGAAATATTCTCTAACCATTGTCTTCCTACAGCAAAATGTTATTTCAAATTCATGCGTGAGGTAAATAAAAAGAAATAGACCATCTGTCGGCTAGGGAATAAACGTAGCTCGTGGTCATCATCGACATCATTTTCCAGCAACAGCTGGCGGTCTCCCATCGTCAACACCACTAATGTGATCATCAGTAGAGGGCGTGGGATGAGGAAGGCTAGGCAACAGCTGTTCAAATAGAGAGCATTCTCCCATCTACTTATTATAGTAGATTTGCCCCCAAGAAACTGCTACAATGTAAGGTGACTAATAGTAGCAAGAAGGCGGCTGATGATGACGGTAACATGGACGCATCTTCGAAGAGCTGGTTACGAATACAAACGATTTAAGAAGGGAATCAATTTAATGATCTGAGGAATAAGCATTGAAGACAATAATTTATAACTAATCATTTAAACAAATAACATTTTGTGGTGATATAAAATTGCCAGTAAATATATTTGATTTAAATGCTAAATTCACGTTTGGACGATTATTCTGTAATAAAACTGTATACGGTTTAATGAGATGCGTGGAAGCCTCCTCAAATTACGACTCTTCTGCCTTGGGAGTGACATGACAGTCAGAGCAAGAGAGTGACCAAGATATTTTCCGAAACGACGCTCAAAAGGAGAAGGCACCCCTTCGCTGAAAATTCGTTCATTTTAATGATATATTTAACAACATGGGTTTCACGGTCTACCTGTTCTTTAGCACAACAACAGTAAGCTATTCTTCTGTATTAGTAAACCTTATTATTTGCATTAGGTGAGACTCTAGACGCTACATCGGCGAGAGTGAAGAGCAAACCTCACTCAAGTGAAGAATAAATCTGTAGTCTTCAAATAGCAAACAAATCTGGGTATTAAAAAGGACGTCTTCCGAGGATGGCAAAATTCACAACGACTCACTTAGATGGGCCAACAAGAAGTAACTTTTGACAAATCTCTAATTTTGAGCTCTACTTAATAGTTGCTGTAGAGGCAAAACTTAGATTTCATTGGCCATGACTGACCTCAACGAAAAGTTTCCCGTAAGTTTTCGAGTGAATCCATTCACTTTATAGCCTGAAAATTGCCATCCCATTCCATGCTTGCTTTCAAAAAAATTTTGCTGTTGTTAAATGCAGAATATTCCCGCTATAAAACATCATCTTGGGCAAACTTTAAAGCTGATTCTTTAGCGGAGGGGTTGACATTTGTAGAGAGAACAAAGCGTGCGGGTATGCGACATGCACAACCACTAGAAGCACCATTTCCATAATGAACCCAATCCGCAATGTTATTGTCATTTCTCTTTTGTGATTGATTGCAATTCACAGGAAGACTCACAGTTACCAAATCAGCGTAAAAGTGGGGAGAGTCGAAAAAAGGCCCAAAGAGAGGGAAATATTCACCGAACTTGTATTGCCTAAAGCTCTGCATTTAACTACTCAGAATCTTCGGGTCTCCATAGAATGTCCCTGTTTTCTAAACGGCATGTCCAGAAGGCCAGCTCGCTTGCACAATTACAATGAACCATTCCTATGACGAATTGAGCCGGTAGGCATTATCAGGGAAATTTTATTTTCGGTATTAATAAAAGAATAACAGTCGCTCATACTAAAATCTGAACCAAAAACTGAAAAAATTAGGATTTAGAAAATTTTGATTTTCTAAGCTGAAATTATTACCAATTTCAATGGCAACAAAAATCGCCTCATTTTTTAGAAATCCTCTTCATTTTTATGTTTTTAGCGAGTATTTAATATTGACGAATATGACAATTCTAAAAAGAAATAACTTTTACCATTTTAAAATATTTAGATCACGACTCAGTTATTATTCAAGTTGACTTTTAATCATTAAGTAAAAAAATAAAATGAACTATTGGAAGCTGCAAAAAGCAATAAATAATCTAAGGATGAGGCTAAAATTTATGCAATTCAACATTTGAATCCCACTACTTCAGGCATATACCATGACCTCTGTTTTGTCAATTCCACGCCCTTCAACAAAGGCTTACCGGCCATCGATCTAGTATGTTCAGGGACTTCCATAAGTAGCTCTCTTTTCCACTCTTCTTCACCATATCCTTCCTACTGACATTCGTAGATCCTACTTCACAGATTGATTCAACTTTGTCCTCCTGTTCTTCTCTTTCCTCAACATCAAATGGACGGAAGCAGAGGCGAAATACGAGGTCGCATTGAGAATCGCACCCTTCTGAAGGTCTCAAACAGCAATCACTTCTGAAGCGGTAGTTCAGGTTGTTTTCGAACTGGTAAATAGCCACTTCCAGACGTGCCACAGGCACAGAAGCTTTTATAATCCATGGTGTAGAGAGAAGAAAAATGAGAATGAGAAGGTAAGAGGAAAAAGCAGGTCTATTCATCCTCAAACCGGTGGTATATTTGCCTCTTTTGTGGGAAGAAGGGGAGTCCTGCGGGCGCGCAAACGCGACTGGTGGTCAAGTGACCAATCAGAGGCGAGCAAAACTCGTACGCTTGTAGGTGCATGTAAATGAATGCGCAGAGGCGGCACCAATCGCATTCTTGACATTAAAACGTAGATCTGTAGATGATAACCCCAGAATACAATTTATATTTACTAGACAGTTTACCTGCATACAATAAGAATTTGCATTAAATAATCAAGTAACTACAGCAGCAATTTCCAAAGGTCAACTTATTTAGGAAAAAACTAAGAGATTTGTGGTTATTATAGTGAAAAATAACAACAGAAAATCTTTACAACGTTCTACTAATTGAATTCACAGTCGCTATAACCTTCAATTATTTCTTCACAATCCAGCTTTTCGTTTTCAAAGTTAAGAAAAACTTTAGTCTTACACACCGGTTTTACCTCACTTTCATTTCTCCTCTACTTCACGTACGATTGTTTGATTGGGTAATGACACTACCAAGAAAAGGCGATAATTATTATCTTGGACAGATATCATCCTGGAAGCTCAAAAAATGAGGTGAAGCCACGAGTTACTTCATACTGTGATGTAAGGATATCTCATGGTCTTTATAGTAATAGGACCTCCTTTTGACGAATTAGGTAATCCTGGTCAGTCTTACTGCTTCAAAAGTTTTCGGGCACATCATCAACTTCTATCAATTTACTTTGGGTAAATAGATCCTAAACGTGACTGCTAGCTGGTCGTTGCCAAGTGGACAAGCTGTCTAAACTCCCCCATGCACAGATATGCAAGCATAGCTTTTGTCTTGAGCCTGATGATAAATCACTTGATGATAATGCGACACATTTAGGAAGACTATTTCCTTAAGGATAATGTTAACGTGATTGCCGGTGCTGAATCCACTAATGTTTAATTTTGGAGGAAAAGTAGCGGCATCTAGTGAACAAGTAGGTAACATATGCCATGTTAACCAATGATTACGAGCTTTAATGACTATCAGTTTCTTAATATCTTTCTCGTACATTCTACAAATTTGTCATTACAAAGGGGCTGTTTGCAGACTGGCTTACTGACTTGTGATGATGAATGGCTTTTATTACAATAATAAGCGAACTGACACTTAAAGGCGGAGTTGGAGGAGATTGGCGATGGCGTCTCACCTCATTCTTCACATTCCTCTCATGATATTCTTTTAAGTGGTGGTTATTCCCAATTCTTGCCACTGCTAACAAGCAACAAACAATCACGGCATAAAATGAAATACCTGGGGCAGGTTCTTTGCTTCTGAGACAAAAAATGCAATAAAAAAGGAGTTCACAAGCTATTGTCTTGGTGGAAGGGGGTGATAAATTATGTGGTAAATATTTCAATGGACTTAGTATGCTGTCAAATTTTCTGCAGTTTTCTCATTATCTTTGTGCTTACTTTATAACAGCTTCCGCCTTCCCCGAGGAAATTTAAAATAATCATAAGACCAACAGTGTTAAGGCCAAATCGAAAGCGACTGGAGGGGATCATGCAATGCTATGCCTACAAAGTTAATGCAATATGCCAATTTTAGTTTTTTTTTTACGACAATCAAAGAAAATGGTTATCATTTTCTAATGATTTTCACCTTTAAATATTTTGAATGGAAGACAAGGTGTGTAAGACCGATCATAAATCTCTTAGGGATGGGATTTAACCATCGCTCTACCACTTTTAAGGACATTCTTAAATAAAAATTCTCATTAGCTTCTTCAGGATAGCTGTACTGCTGTTTATGACTCACTATCTGAAGAAAGTGCTCTTCTTCAGCGATAGCTAATGTTTCAACTTATTTGTCAAATGGAACATTTGGGCGATTAACTTGCATTTATTTTCGGTGTTTGAGGGTAGACTTGAAAGTTCTGGCCACTCTAGAGTGGTCATGATGGCTGTTCCATAGTTACGGTTAGTTTATTTAACAAGATCATAATAGTTATTGCAGAGGGTAGAAACCAACTTTTAAATTCTGTCATGTGAGCTCGTGATTTTGACCTCATGGTCTGATATCGGCAATTGTCTGGAGCGCAGCCACATCCTTCCGATTGGCTAGATTAGTGTCCAGAATCGCCTCAAAAGTGCTTGGGCACCCTACTGACATGCACTTTAATGCAGAAAAGGCTATCATAATCCCGGAACTTGAGGAAATACTCATGTCCCAAATTTAGCTTTCATGAAACACTTTATTCAATATCCTTTTGAAAACGTTGTCTTGTGAGACTTCTCGTAGCTGAACGTCGGGAGGATTCTATGACCGTCATAACGGTATTTCCATTTTAGAACTATATATTTACTATTTACTATTACTTGATATCCATATGCGGTACGCGTGGTAAAGGAGATAAATTTGCGCTCCCTTTAAGCAGCCTCTATCCACACCACTCATCCTTTCTTTAATGCCAATTAAAAGAGCCATTTCATTTCCCTAAGAGGAGTGAATAGCGAGGAAATATTAAATAAATGACATATGATAACATTGAAAAAATGAGGAATTCCTGAGTAATGAAAAGTCAGCCAAGAAAATGAAATGACCATGAAGTGAACTGGAGAAAAATTAGGAACCAATCCGTGTTCTCCCGTTTCCTAGGGGCAAATTTACTTTTCAGTAAGTGGAATCCGAAAAGGAAATATGCCTGACCTTTTATCAAAAAGCTTTAGTGCGACCTGTTCAGTACAAGATTGAGCCTTATCGTAATTAATAGGAAACACTGCTGCAGATGAAAGCCGAAACTTTCCATTGCTGTTACAAATTCATAACATCGAATTCTTTTGGTCTTAGGTGATGACTGTACGGAGATTATTAAAGGAAGTCTATTGACAAGATTAAAGAAATTTCACAGGCCGTGTAATATGCCGATGCTTGCTTGACCATAGTAAAATATGGCCGTTCAGCCCATTCATCCATTCGTCCACCCACCCATTCGTCCCCATTAGCTATTTTGCGTTCTACAATCGCGAAAATATTTTGGATTCTTGAGAGCATTAAGTACACTATTATGACAAAATAATTCTCATTACCACTTTGACAGTTCTCTAATTACACTTTATTGAGCATGTGGTTTTAAGATGTTCCATCTGTTTTGATAGTTTACCGGTTTTCCTAAAACATGTTCAGAAGAATTTATTTACATTTTGTTTATCACTCTTTAACTGGGAAAAA